CCACCAACATTTTGAAGTGCCAAACATTACCCTAATCTATGAGCTCATTTGGATTTTGAGAAAATTTTACATAAATATTGTATAGAACTTTGTTGAATTCTAATCGAACACGACAAAACTTCCAAAATTCTTGATTGTATTTTTTAAAATTATTGGGAAAAATAATAAAAATAAGATTTAAAAAATTGATATACTTGTTTAACATTTGGAATACATGTACCTTAAGTTAATTTATAATAACCTTTTATTACTCATTATATATCACAACATATATTTATTACCAAGAATTGCTCAAAATATTACTTTTAAAATTTAAAAAATAATTATCAATTATGGGAATTTTGTCGTGTTTAATTAGATTCATTAGAGCCCCATCAAAATAAATTCTCATGTTTATTTTTAATGTCATATAAATTTAATATATGTACTTCAATTGTTACAAAAAATATATCAAATTTCATAATTTTTTATTATCTTTCCTATGAGACCAATAGTGAGTACATAAAAATAAAAAATAATATAATACTTGAAAATATCTATTATTTTAAGTGTTGTAACATTTTTATTTATACTCCAATTGTCACAAAAAATATCAAATTCATAAATTTTTATGTTCTTTGTATCACCCCAATATTGAATATATACACATAAGAAAATAATTAAACACTTTAAAAATATCCGTTTTTAAAGTGCTATTTTTTATTTGTACTCTGATAATTACAATAAACATATCAAAATTGGCAATTTTTATAATCTTTCATATGACATCAATATTGAATACTCCCTCCGTCCCGAAATAAATGTCCTGCTTTCCTTTTCAGTTCATCCGGAAAAAATGTCTCCTTTAATTTCAATTTTAGGCAACCCATTACTCAAATACTCCCTAAAAACCCTCACTCCAAACCCTTTAATCATTTCATCCTTATACCTCTCTCCATCCTTATAGGGTATTTTGCTTTAAAAATCCACTTTTCTAAATAACCGTGAAAAGTCAAAGGAGACGTTTTTTTCGGGACAGAGGAAGTATATAAAAATTAAAAAAATGTAAAAGTTCAAAACATCTATTTTTAGGTGTTGTGACATTTTTATTTGTACTCCATTTGTCACAAAAAATGTCAAATTCACAATTTTTTATTGTCTTCTAATGACATCAATATTGAATATATATATATATATATATATATATATATATATATATATAAATTAACACATTAAAAATAACATATGTTGTTTTGAAATGCTATAACTTTTTTACTTATACTCCTATTGTTACAGAACTATATCAAAATTCCAAACTTTTTATTATTTCTCATATGACAACAACCTTGCATATATAATACTCCCTCCGTCCCGCTAAGATTGTCCTATTTTACCTTTTAGGGAAGTTCCACTAAGATTGTCTCATACCAAATTTGGTAAAGATTGTGTGAGTCTAAATCATTCTTACTTTATTCTTTGTTTATCAATTTTATATCAACCACACAAATCCACATTTCTTAATAATCGTGTCATCTTCTCTCGTCACAATCTTAGTAGGATGGAGGTAGTAATAAAGACATATCATTTAAAGAAAACATTTAGATAGTATTAAAGTGTTCATTTTTGTTTTTGTTTTTATATATTCAATATTGGTGTCATATGAAAGCTAATAAAAAGTTATGAATTTGGATATATTTTTTGTAACAATCAAAATACAAATAAAAAAAGTTATTACACTTTAAAATAAATACATGATTTTCTTTAGTGGGTCACCACTAATTTTCTTCAACGTAGCATACTCTACCAAGGAGTATAATATAGGAAGGATTAATACTACGTAAATACGAAGGAGTATTTAAAATTGTGATGGAATTCTGGAATAGAATAGAATTATTGAGAGGATGACATGTGGCACAAGTTTCCTAAATTGTATCCTTCAAATGTATTATCTATAGATAGATATTTACAACTCCGTCCGTACTTTATAATTATAATATGAATAATTAGTACTACATTATTATTTTACAATTTTGCTATGATGGAAGCTAAGTTTAGTTGTACAATCTTTTGAGAATTCTATTAATAGATACGGAGTATGTAACAAAACCTTCTCTTTTGATTTCAAATAAAAATTTAGAGTTAAAATCTTTTGTGAGTATGGTGTGATCTCAACCTTTGTCTAGGGCACCAAAATTCCTAAAGACGGCCGGTTTACCAAACACTATCAACTTTTACTTTTCAAAATCAATTTGTTTTCAAAGATTACCAATTTTTGCTATTGAACACCTTTTCCAAAATCACTTTAAAAATTGATTTTTTTTAAAGTAAAAGCAATTACAAATACACCCTTAGTCGGGTTTTTTTACCCCTTTAAAGACGGTGAACATCATCACCTCTCTCCAATGCATGCCATTTGGCATCACAATTACTTTTTTCTTCAAATTATTATAACTTCTTTATATATAATCTAACTTTCACAAATAATATATCAAATTTCATAACTTTTTTATGATTTTTACAATGGTATCCATGCTACATATAAAAAAGTGAAAAGAAAAATTTTTCTTCTAAAATCTACTTTTAGGCTTTTAGCCGGATGTTTTTTTAAAAATTTTACATATACAATATATGTACCATATGAAAGATCACAAAAAATTAAAAATATAGATATATGTTTTGAAAAAATTGGACCAAAAATGAAAAAGTTATAACATGTGTAAAATTAAAAAGAACTGTCATGTCATGTGAAATCCACAATGGTAGGGGTGAAAACCCTCTAATTTGAGGTTTTCACTCCAAATTAAATTTAAAATATTTTTATCTATATCTCTGAGTTACTTTTTTCAAAAATATATCTGAATTAGCTAAAAAAAAATTAAACTCCGAATTCATTTATTTTACCTCAGAATGTTTGACTTTTTATTATTGGTAAAAATAAAATTATCACATACATGATGTGTAATAAAAAAGGATTTACGCAATAAATTGAAAAACGTGTTGAGTGAATATATTGCCGATGCTGAGTTGCAGATAAAAACGGAATTGACTGAGTGAATATGAGAGATTAGGTTAATAATAACATAACATAATAATTAATAATAGCAGTTAGGTTGATTACTCTTATTAATTTGGCCATATCCATTCTGGAAGATACTTTTAAGAGTGTGTGCTACATGGGCCATATGCCAGTTCGCCACCACGCCAGCCACATTCATACATTCATTTAAATGTAGCTAATCTGCCATGCATGATCTGTTTTTTGTCTTATAAATGAATAAAAGTTGTTGTTGTTATTGTTGAATTTATTGTTAATGAATATAAATTTTCTGAGACGGGAGGATCAATGTAAAACATGACTTGTTTGGATGAAATGTTGAAAGATATTAGTAATGAAACTGTTAAAGAGTATGAGTTTAACACTTACGACTATTAAAGTTTAATCCTTCTAGGGATACCCAAACTGGGACAATAAGTGATTCAACATTTGGTTTAAAATTTGGCCACCATTTTGTGATCTATATATTATACCCTAGAATCATCCCATTTTTACGATTCCAACATCTGAGAAAATCTTCTTCTAAGTCAAATCAAATTAGGATGTGTTTCTGTTTGAGTAACCCTAACTGATATCCACCCTTAAATCTGAATTTCTCAAACTCTATCATGAGATTAATCATGTTAGGACGTCCGCGATAGAAATAACCAATCAGAGTTCGATTGTGCTTGGCAGTCAAAGTTTGGATATCCGCATCGGGAAAAGAAATAGCTGACATACCTTTGAATCTAGGAATGGAGGCCTAAGCAAGCGGGGCAATTGTGGTATTCGCAAGCACACACGCGAATGTGGCCACATCAAGCCGTCCGAAGATTGAGGGGGCGACTACGCCGCCGCAAATGAGGGCTGCGTCTCCATTTTCTAGAGCTCTCAAATTTCTCACACACACGAATTGTCCTCAAACTACCCGATGATTCTGATGTATTTCACTTATTTTTGGGTAGTATTAGATTTGCCGAATTTCTTCTGTTTGCATGATGCTAAGAACTCAATGATTGAAGAACCTTAAACTTTTGATTTTGAAATTGAGAGGACGTGCAAACGCATCCGTAGAAAAAATGATGTTCACGCTCAATGAAAGAAAGAGACCCTTTGTTGCACCCACCCCATCTTACAGTGTACTAAGAGAGTGTTTGCAATTGCTTCAACTTTAAAGAAGTGATTTTTTAAAGTGATTTTGAGAAAAGTGATTAATAGTAAAAGTTGGTAGTGTTTGAAGAAAAAGTGATTCTGAAAAAGTAAAAGTTGGTAGTGTTCGGTAAAAGAAGTACTTTTTGTGTAATAGAAAAAGTGAAAAGCAGTTTAAAGCACTCTTCCACCTGCTTCCAGCTTTTAGCTTTTAAGTGATTAATTTAAGCAGAAGCTGTCATTTGAAAACACTCTTTTTAACTTTTTTTAAGCCAAAAACTGAAAAGCACTTTTTTTAATCAAATGCAAACACTCCCTAAATGTGGTGGTTAGAGCTATGAAGTGAAGAATGTCTAGTTCAATGTTGTGCCTCACTTCTATGGTCAACCGGGGAAAATTCCTTTGAACTTTATCATGGCCGGACTGAAGCATCAATCAGAAACCTCCATTCTCAACTCACCAAGCTTTATTTTAGATTCGAAGATCAAAAACTCGAAACTAAACCAAAGAATGGACAATCTTAAACAATATATCGATCTATAATCTTGAGGTACAAATTGGTCAATGGTGCTATACAGTCATTTAGCGAATTCAATTACAAAAGTAACATCAATCTTATTTATTTTAATTCTAATTTTTACTCAAATCAACAAGCAAAGTCAAAAACTATAAGTTGATTAAAAAATGTTGATAAAACATATAAATTCAATATACTTCGTATAAATTACCAAACGAGTAGCTTAATCAAATACACCTAGAATTTCTTGTATTTTTGAACAAGAAACGGTAGCTTTCTGAAAAGAAATGTTCTCACAACTGGTTCTATATGGACGGTAAAGTGGAAGTTCGTTTGAAAATTTGAAGCTGTATGGAATACTCATAAATACGAGTATCAATGTAAACAAAAAAGGAATAGTAGAATGCCACCTAATTTGCACCTCATCTCTCTCTCTCTTCTCAGAATTCCTGCAACTAGCTCTATTCTTGGGGACCTAGGGCATCTTGAAGAACATCCCTTTCCTTGCTCATATCATCACATTTGATGAGATTCTATAATAATGTGCGTATGACAAAATTGTGGTTCAGAGACTGGTGAATTTGGAGTTCTATGAGTGCTGGATTGTTCTTCAAAAGTTGCTTCAGAGACTGTTGAAGACAACGAGAATGCCTGCTCACAAGTCGAAATCGGAGAAAATTGATGATTCAAAGTCTCTGCGGAAGGACCCTTATGAGGTTCTCGGAGTCAACAAGCACTCAACAGATCAGGAAATAAAAACTGCCTACAGAAAATTAGCTCTGAAGTACGTGTGTTTTTCTCTGCCATTATCTTGGTTCGTTAAATTTCTTCCAGCATCGGAATATGATGTGTTGATGTGCGCAGAAATTTTTATTCTTGAGCTGGTTTTAAATCTTGTTTTACTTTATTTGGGCTAGAAGATTTTGAGCTAGAAGTATTTACTTCGATACAGACAAGAGTGGCGAGGAAGTGGGAAATTTCTTGATTCGATCTTAGTTACTGAGCTCAGGTCCCCTTGTTGTCAGCGAATTTGGCTGTAAATGCCTTCGCATTTTGCTATTTCAATTCGGACATTTTAAATTTTCAAACTTGAAGATCTATATTGGCTCAAGGATGGAAAGCTCTGCAATATAATTTAAACCGGCATATAAGTTCTTTTTTTTGTGTAGAAGGGAAATGACCTTCCACTTTTAACTTAAAAAAGAAGATGTAGATTTTCTTCGAGAAAGCTGCATCAAGTTTTTCTTCATAACATGGGAGTGGAACATGAATTGAAGAAGATGCTGTTTAAGATTTTCCTTGCTTTAGTATGTAGAAATTGCTGTGTTTAAAGAAGAAGTCCTTCAGTAATATGTACTCATTATTGCTTAGCTAACTATTTGTTTGGTTTACAATTATGAATTAACTTGACAACTGATAAAAATGTTCTTTTCTTATTTACTTATTTTTTAGAATCTATATTTTTTTGGGAAACACTTCCATTGTCTATATGGATACCTTGTATCCTCTTTTTATCCTCTTTAGAAGAATCTGAGTGATGATATTGAGAGTTGCTTTCTGAGAATCATTTCAAGATTATAAACCATTTCAAGACGTTTGTATTTTTTTTTTTTTGATTTTTTAGAATCTCATTTATTTGCTAAACATGTAAAGGTACCATCCTGACAAGAATGCAAATGACCCTAGAGCAGCTGATATGTTCAAGGAAGTCACTTTTTCGTATAACATTTTGTCTAATCCTGAAAAAAGGCGTCAATATGACTCTGCTGGGTTTGAGGTTTGTATTATCTTAATCTAATTGTGGTTGTATACCTAGATTCTTCTCTTACATTACCTACATATGGAAAAAGGCTTACAGGCCTGCTGTTATAGTGTTATACAGTTATATTGAATAAAAGAAATTAATTTTGAACTATGCGTCATTAAATATTTAAATGCATAAAGTTCATCCAGGCTAGGCTAGGCTAGGCTAGATAGCAATCACGGATGCTGCTGCGTGGATTGTCTGTACTCAACTGTACTACCGTTCCTGGTTATGAGTTTATGTCTAGATGGTAGTTAATCATTTTAGCAGATGGGATTGAGTAATTTACTATTTCATTTATGTTCTCATGTAGTTTGTGTAGAAAATTTGGATACGTTTTACTGTGGCCTGATCTTGATTTTGGTTCAGATACTTAAATTGGGTCATCCGGAAACAGTCTCTCGTGATTTAGTACAGGGGTAAGATTGCGTACATCCGACCCCCCCCTACCCCATCGTAGATGGGAGCCTTTGCGGCACTGGGGTAATGATGATGATGACTTAAATTGTTTTAAGTTTGATTATTCAGTACATATAAATCCACGTAGCTATATCAGACGGGCTAGAATATTACACAGAGTGCAATATCTCATCCCATGACCCGTAGCGTATGGAAGTAATCTGTTATATGTTATGAGTTAAATGAAGAATTTCATGTTTTTTATATTCAGAAATAAATACTCCGTAATATTTAGTACACATTTAGTATCATTATAAATTATACATTGTAGGGTCTTAGAAGGTCATAGCTTACATATTTAGTACGTAACTTTATCGTTTGTTCATGTTATCCGATTAGGACAGCACTAGAGAGACAAACTGGGGCTGAGAAGCATCAAGGGGAGAGTACAACTTTTCCATATTCATATTCCTCATTCGTATAAACACACTGGTCCCCTAATCATGCTTTTACTCCCCATAGAATTACAACAAATCAGTCAACTGTAACAAACAATGACTGTTTTATTTAATAAAAAACTTTTTCTGTTAGTTTTAGATCAGTACCACTATCACTCTTTTCATAACATTTTGGTAAGGCCTTATTGCTAGATGACAATGTACTATTCTTCTTTTCTGCACAGTTTATTTCTTTTTGAAATATTCTAGGTTCCTATATTGACATGTTTTTAACTTTTCAGGCAGTGGAATCAGATAGCCAAGAAATGGAACTGGACCTTTCAAGTTTGGGACCTGTAAATACCATGTTTGCTGCTCTATTTAGGTATGTTTTTGTGTTTTTTCTCGTAATGCATATCAGTTATGTTCTTGACTGTACTTTGACAACCTCTCTTCCTCTTATGGATCTCTAATTCTATCATTCCTTCCTATAAAATTATACATTCTTGATCTCCTATCAGTAAGCTTGGGGTACCAATTAAGACCGCTGTCTCAGCCACTGTCTTGGAAGAAGCATTAAATGGTACAGTGCCCATTCGTCCCCTTCAACTCGGGCAGTTAATCTGTAGGAAGGTATGATCTATGTATTATATTGATACTTCTACTCTGTTTGATCTCATGTTACGATTGAGGTATGATGTCATGTCATCTTCTCTTCGCAGGTAGAAAAGCAGTGTGCTCACTTCTACGCTGTTACAATCACAGAAAAGGAATCTAAAGGGGGCTTTGTTTGCCGGGTGCTATCATCAGATAAAAGCAAGTTTAAGGTGAGTTTACTTGTCTACCATGTTATAGCTATTATATTTGAAAAATCTGTCTTTTAATTGTCTAAGGTGTAAAGCTTGTCTATCTGCAGTTATTGTACTTTGATAAAGAAGAAAATGGTGGGTTGAGCCTTGCACTGCAGGTATAGACTGCCAATGTGAACTTACATCTCTGTGTAGGATTTTGAGAGTTTATTTATTGGTTTTTTGTGTAGAGGTAGTGCACAAAAATCTTCCACAACTTATTTGAAACAGAAATCTGAATTGAGTTCTTTAATGATGTTCTCATGTAAACATATGATGCAGTTCACCTTGAGCCTGTATTATGTGAACTTGTTTTGCTTCATTAAATTTAAGAAAGCTATATCCTTTGCAGTAGCTTTGTATGATCTGTTGCACATGTTTTTCAATTGCTACGTGTCACTTCATTCATAGGAGGATAGCACAAAAACTGGAAAAGTGACTTCTGCTGGGATGTATTTTCTTGGATTCACTGTTTATCACATGGATCCAGCACATACATCAGTAAGTAAATATTTTTGTGATACCCAACAGTTCATTCTACAGTTAGCTTATTACACTCCTTGACATGTTGGACTGGTGCAGATGACTGCTGCAAAGGATCAAGACTCTGCGTTGTTTAAAAAACTGGATGGGTTTCAGCCATGTGAAATAACTGAATTAAAACCCGGAACACATATATTTGCAGTATATGGTATCTCTTCTTTTGCTTGTATAGATCAGTGTACTGTTCATTCATTTGTTCTCGAGTATGCTTACTGACACGCGTTTTTCTTGACTACCTGCATAGGTGACAATTTTTTCAAGAGTATAAGCTACACCATTGAAGCTGTTTGTGCTGAAAATTATGCTGAGGATAAAGAGAACCTAAGATCAGTAGAAACCCAAATTTTATCAAAAAGAGTGGAGTTGTCCAAGTTTGAAACAGAATACCGGGAGGTATGCTCTCTAGACAGAATTCACAGAATGTGTGTTTGCTAATTTGACTACACATACTAAGATATATTTAATGTCTTGCAGGTTCTTGCACAATTTACAGAGATGACAAGTAGGTACGCTCAAGAAATGCAAGCAGTGAGTTACTCGAACAAAACTTTAAAATTAGTGCCTAGTTATTTCAAGATAAACTGAGTTATTATTATTATTAATATTATTATTATCATGTTACTATCTTAGATAACATATATATTGGTTACCATAGTCTATGTTTATCAACAGGCCGATTATTATTTATGATGATGATGATCATCATCATCATCATTACCCCAGTGCCGCAATGGCTCCCACACCATCAGTGGGGCAAGGGGGTCAGATGTACGCAGTCTTACCCCTGTAATAAAGCACAGAAAGACTGTTTCCGGATGATCCATAGTGAAAATCGCGTTGAAAATTACATGGATTGACTGTTGCTTCATAAGAAAGAAGCGCAGACAGTTTAGTAAACCATTTTGCTTTATTCCATCATATTCTCAAGCCAAAAAATAGTGAGTCTTTGGCTCCATTGCAAATGATGGAAAATTATTATTTATGATGATATTCAAATAAAGGTTCTAGTCATGCAATGATGCAAAGGATAGTTTACAAACAGTCCTACATGAGAATTTAGATAAAATGTAATTGTTACGGAGTATTATATTGAAATAAATTATCGGCTTACCTTATTCTGTCGCTATGAACAGATTGACGAGCTCCTTAAGGAGAGGAATGACATACATGCCTCGTATACAACTGCTCCTCAAATGAAGCGCAGTGGCAGTGGTCGTAATAAAAGTAGTAGCGCTTCTAATGAGGCCACTGAAGGTAAGCCTGCAAGACAGAAGAAAACTTCAAGAGAGCATTTGAAGAAGAAAAAATGGTTTAACATTCACTTGAAGGTGGATAAAAGGAAGCCTTGCTAAGTGCAGTTAGATCTTCTACCAATATATTCCACAATGTCAATATTTGTGCTGTCTACTATTTTTCTTGCATAAATGGAAGCACCCAAGCAGTTTCCTTTTTATGGTAATGCCTTATGTCCAAGCAATGAGCTTGTTGCTGGATTACACAAATTCGAAGTGACAGTTTTCTCTCGTTCGTCTATTGATATCAACAGCGTTGTGAAACTTTGGCATCTCATGTAATGGTTGGTCTAACATGCAAAGCACTGCTACACAGTAGTTTTAGAATTCTTCCCTCGGCATTCTTTTGTTAGTCACTGTGTATCTTTGTGGATTCTACTATCAAACGATCTTTTGTTTCGTTTTCATACTTTTAGAAAATATAAAACTTGTAGACATGCTAATTATAGTTTGCACATTGTTCTGTACAAACCGTCTGTATAACACAACGTTTTCTTGTTATGTATGACACACCGTTGTTACTTGTTATTTTCTTGAAGTATAGACAAAAATTTATAGTGATTCTACTAATTAGTGTTGTTGTAGCGGTTTGAGCAGCAAAAAGTATCCATCTTCTGCTTTCTTTGAACTGAGTATATATGGTTGTTACAGATGACACCCTATCCCCGAGGGCCTCCATAACTGACTGGACAGTTATCTGGGAGGATGTAAATTGAACTTTGATCTCATTCTTATGGAGAGAGTGAAGTTTCATTTTAAGTCATTGTTTGGAATTAAACCTAAGACCTATTTCTTGTGACACTCTCTTCCTACCGGGTGACTAGGTGAGCTATGCCCCCCACTATATGGTTGTTACATAACAGGTAAAATGTATATGTTGAACTCATTCCAAATATAAAGTACACCAATCAACGGGACATTCCCTGATTCCCCTGTACGATACATTGGACATGCCCCAGTACCAAAAACAAAAAAGAATAAACAGTTGTTGCCCACCTAAATAAGCTATGGTCAGAAGAGAAACAATATGGTTGTTACATGAGGTTTCACACTTTCACATATGGATGACATGGACGATGGTGATCCCCGACTAATGGAGGTCCGATCAAAACGAGGAAAATTGTATTGATCAGGTAAGAGGCACAAGGTGGAGAATAACCATTTTACATTCACGAGTAATGGGAGGGTATTGTTTTATACATGCTTGCCCCCATTATCTATTGCATATTTGTCCCGTTTATTTTTAGTTATATTTTGGTTTCATTTCATATAAGTATATAGTAAATAAGTATAGTGCTTTAAAGAAATGTGCATGAATATAACACTATAAAATGTTCACAATAAAGTTGGTAACTTCAGAATAAAGAATTACAAAATACTTTGTTAATAAGAATTACATTAATACTTTTTTTGTGATTAATGTATATTAGGTGTATGATTTATAAAAATGAGTTTTATATTATACAATTTTTATAAAAAGGAATCAATATGATATTATAGATGAGCATAACAAAGTTTTGAAATGAGTATACAGTAATTATGAATATACTACCTCTGTCCTGAATTGATTTGCAAATTTGACTTTTTGTCAAACAGTTTAATTTTATTTACTTAATTAAGATGTCAAATTTTAATTATATCGTAATTTGAAGTTTGCGACTTTGAAGAGATTTTAATGTTGTTTCTAAATATGTAAATTTTAATTTTTAAAAATTGAATTAATTATCAATAAAGACTAGAGAGGATTTAACTTTAACCTTGATTAACAAAAACATGTTCACTTTGCAAATCAATTTGGGATGAAGTATTATTTTTAAAAAAATGTGCACCTAGTTTCCATGATAAAATGAGCGTAATAAAATTGATATAATTATTAATTGTTATTTTTAATAAGATTGTTACTTTTCATTACAAAAACAACTAATATTTGAGTAAACAATTTTAATTTTGTTAAGTTGGTTCATAATGGAAATATATTGCTTGCATGAATCATTGAAATGAGTAATTTAAGCATAATGTTTACAAGGAATATGCTGACATTTTAAAATGAACACAATAGATATACCGAAGGTAGATCGTGAAATGAGAATGTAAGAGAACAAAAAATAAACACTATAATCTCAATCCTGTCAAACTACATGGTGCTTACGGATCGTACATCAGATTGTACATGATTATGGAGGATCTCCTTTACATTCACTCATACTATCTAAAGAAAATTCATTGCAGTACTACTATATGAGAGTTTCTTCTTGTACACACTTTCATTCCCACTTTATACCCACCATGTCTATGAGAAGTTTTTTTTGGTCTGTGAATCTGATTCACAGCCAAAATAATTTGCATAGACATATTTTTGTCTATGACCGGGATTCACAGACAAAAAAAAAACTACTCACAAACATGGTGGGTACAAAAGTGGATATAATAGTGTGTACAAACAGTTTTTGCTAGTATATTGTAGAATTGCGAAGTTCAAACATTGGACACATATTCTAGTATTCTGCCATCATGTCTGATCCTCTTATTCTCATTGCATAGTTTAACAAAAATGTTCAAGATTGTTGTAGAATAGATTACTCTTCTGATGAAAATATTAACAAAATTAGCAATGCACTCAAAACAAAAGGCCTTAGAAGCCGTTCTCTTCGCTTGATCAGAATGTTTCTGTTGGGTTAAGGGCCCAAGCCGAGGTTCGGCCCACTAACCCATTTTGCTAGACGAACGTCCAGTTAGAACACTAGGCCAGCCCACAGGCCCATGTGCCACGGGGATGGACGAACGTCTAGTGTTGGAGGACTCAGGCCCAGCAGCTCATCCCGACGAACGTCTATGCAGGGACAAGGAGCAGGACCACGGGCCACCAGGAATGACGACGAACGTCCCCAGAGCAAGCCTGTAGTCATCGGAGAAAACCCTGTCCACATGGTGAGTATCCACCAAGGCCAGGAGACGAACAGCCGATATCTCCCAAGGGTCCCTTGGAGCAATCCAACTCACTTCCCGGTGGACGAACGTCCCCACTAATCCGGCGGGAAACCTAGATTCTGGCGGGAAGTGCATTTAATGCTAAAGATTTGGTAGTTGGGACACCAGCGGTCCACAGGCTGCCACGTCACTACAGCCACCTGCCCATTGGCGGGTATAAATAGAAGCATTTATTCCATTGTAAAGGGTTGGCAACTTTCTATTCTTAGCACCCTAGCTATAGCATTCTATTCGCAGCACTTCTACTGCCTTGTAAGACGAACGGCCGACGGAGCCTTAGCAAAAAGTATTGTATTAGGGAGTTATTAAGAGATAATAATACCTAATCATTTACTTGCTACTTATTTGTTTCTTGACCCTTATCATCTGTCTGTTGGGCTAGTTACTCATACGCACTCCACTCGAAATCTTTGGGCTTACGTGTTGGGCCTGAAGGTTGAAGGAATAAACCTCAACACTGGCGCCGTCTGTGGGAAACTGAACAAAAAGTTTCCAAAAAACTCTCCCAAACAGCTACTAAATCTACCCAAAGCAGGCATGATGACAAGAAACAACCGCCAACGCGATCTCTCCGAGCAGTTGTCCCGCGGACGAAGCAACCGCGGGCAAACCACGGAATACTCCGAGACGTTGGGGACGACTGGGGGTGAGGGTGGTCTCACAAATCTCATCCCCCACGAAGCCAGGCAGGACCCTCGACTCATGAGGGAACTGGCGGAAACAATGCGCCGAATGGCGGACGAACAGGAGGCGAATGAAGAGGTGTATTCAGCCAACACCATCTGGACGCCCATATCGCCTGTCCGCCGCATGCAGACCCTGGATGAGACAGCGGAATCTGCCGAGCGCCGGACACCCATCCACATGAGGTTGGGTCAAAATCCGTCTTCCCATGGAGCTGGGGGGCACACCAGCGCCAGCACCCCCCGCTATGGGTGGCAAGACGATCACCGGGGACGCACGCCGGATGTCCCCTCCGAACAGCGGGGCACTATCATTACCCCCCGCCGCCAGTAATATTGGACGACGTTTCCAAAGACATGGCGCCCATATCACACGAAGGCAACCCGACGCGGTTGCCCCACGAAGGAACATTGCGCTCGAGGCCGCCCCTCCTGTGTCCCCCGGAAGGGCCGCACAGGAGGCCCGGCTAGAGGCAATGGAGCGGCGATTAGCCGAAATGGACAGACGGGCGGAGGCCGCCCCAGCCACGCCGCGTTTCTCCCTCACTTCACCCTTCACCCCGAGGGTGATGAATGCGGAAATTCCGCGCGACTGCAGACCCCCCCCAGGGGATAATATACAACGGGACCGGAGATCCTAAGGCCCACCTGATCAGCTTCCAGGGGAACCTCTCTATGCTAGGGGCATCGGATGAGGCCATCTGCCGGCTCTTTTTCAGCACCCTGAGAGGCCCAGCGCAAGAATGGTTCGGGCAGCTGAGGCCCGGGTCTATTGATAATTACGAACAGATGTCCCAGCAGTTCATGGCACAATTTGCTGCCAGCACCACCCCCAAGAAGAGCTTCACATCGCTCACAAGTGTGAAGCAGGGGAAGGACGAACCTCTGGCCCAATTTCTGGTCAGGTGGAGAGATGAGGTGCTTCAGGTGGATGACCTGGACGAACGGCTGGGAGTGAACATGTTCACCAGCGCTCTAGCAACAGGGGACCTGTACCGAGACCTTCGGAGAAACCCCAGCACCAGCTACACCGAGGTGCTGGCTCGGGCACAGAAGTACGCCTCCATTGAGGAGGAGATCAGATTGAGGGACGGCGCACCTGCCGCCCCCTCCCGGAAATTGGCCGATAGGCTCGGTCCCGGAGGCGGGCCATTCCCCCCGAGCAAAAAGAAGAAGACGGACGGCGGCATGGTTCCGTGGAAGGCTCATCCGGAGGCCAGCCGCGCACGCCCGGAGGAATACCACGTCCCTCTGGCCTACCCCGTCAGTCAGATTTTTAACGCAATCAAAGACAAGGGCATCCTAAGGGAGCCCCAAGACAAGAAGGCACTCATGGGTCAGGATGAAACCGCATATTGTGAATACCACCAGAGGGTCGGCCACCTCACCGACAACTGCAGGCAGCTGAGAACGGCCATCGACGAGCTGATCCGGCAAGGCTACCTGGGCGAGTTCACCCAGCTGCTAAAGAAGAATAGCCCGAGGCAGCCGAACCCGAGATCACGGTCATGGCGCCGCGACGACCAGCGCGAGGCGGAACCTAAGGACGTAGACTATCGGAGTGCTGATAAACGTCCGGAGGGGTCCCTCGGCCCGAACGGCGGAAAGAAGAAGTTGGAGATCAAAGTGATCTTCGGGGGCGCTGAGACTGGGGACACGCCTGCGGAACGGAAGAGGTTTGAAAGGTCCCTCTATGTGGGCTCCGTATCAGCACCCTCCGCCAAGAAGAACAAGGTAGAGGCCATCACCTTCGGACCGGCCGACCTACCAATGTCACCGGCCCCCCACAGGGATGAGCTGGTGATCAGCATGGATGTCAACAATGCGATCGTCCGACGCGTCCTTGTGGATACGGGCAGCAGCGTGAACGTCCTCTACTGGGAGGCATTCGAGGGGATG